TGTTTCTTTTACACCACACCGGGTGGGTTCGCGTATTTGGGACATGCCAATTAACTGGACAAACCGCTCGAACAAACGATCGTTCTTCGTCGCGCCGGTGTTATTTCGACTTTCACCTCTGCCCGACTATATATTCATTACATACTTTCCCCCCAATGCACCTGTCTAACGTTCGATAATTAAATGAGCCTCGTCATATCGCGCGCCGGACATTGTTGACTCGTTTAATTGACAGCGACACGCTGATCGTCGCGCTGTTTAAATTACGACGGAGAGTTTCGTCGACACGAGACGATATAAAAGAGCACGCGCAATAATGAGGCTAATAATTACGGCTTTAATCGAACTCGCTGACAATATAATACTGCGAGCAACTAATAATAATAAGTGCGCTCGCCGATTGTGCACTTTTCATCGGTGGTTACTCGCGAGAGAGTTGCGTTTTATTAAAATGCGAGTCACGCGAAAATAGACGAAAAAGCGATGTAAAAATTCCAGGGCAAGCAATTTGAGTAATAACAATAATAATCGATCGTAATGATTTGTGAAAAATAAATTGATGAAAGTCAGTTCGACGCGACGCGACGCAACGTTCGAGAGACGATGATTGAAATGATTTCCCATTTGATTGCGGTCACTTTCGAAACTATGCTGTTCGCGTGGACAACACGCGGGATACGCGAGCTTATTTCGTGTCAACAAAACGGATTCGAAGAATGTCCGCGCGAAAGTATTAGTCACGCTATCGCGAGCGTGACTTTTCATTGCTATCGTGTCTCTTTTCGTGCGACTGGGGATTAAACGGCGTTACAGGAGAGCGATTTACAATCCAGGTACCACGACTGCGTCGTAACTTGGCCGAGCATCGAGAGATGCAGCGAAGTCATTCAAGAGCAAAGTGAAGCAACGTGAATCCGATCGTTTTATCGAGGCTCATAAATTCCTCCGGGGAAATAAAGAGAAATCGTGACGCAATAAATTCTGTGCAAAAGAAGAAATAATTAATAATTGATTAAACTTAAAGAGAGCCTTTTTGGACTGATAGGTTTCTCTAGGATTGATCATGCGTTTCGTAGAAAAAATATTTAAGGATAAATTTAAGCGACCAAATCTAGCACAAATTTTTATTCATTAAAACGACGTTTCAACCATCAGCTTGGTGGTCATCGAGTAAAAATATAAAAATGTTATTATAATTAATTTCACAAGGTAATTTTAAACAGTTATGCACACAGATTGGATTTTACGTCCAATTAAATTATTTTTTGATTCTTAAATTTATTCTTTGATCGTTCTTCTAGCGATTTAAACATTTAATTATTTATTAAAAATATTTAACCCAAAATAATAATAAATGTAATTTATACCTGTCGTTTCCTGCGTTACTTATTCGTCCGTGCGAGAGAATATAAGAATGCGAGCCTTGTACCGGACACGGTGGTACTGCGAATCCTTAGGAAGGATATTTCTTTTCGTCGACCGCGGCATTCGGGAACGGGCGGAGCTCGCGGGAAATAGGATCGGCAGAATCGGGATTCTGTCGATGGAGGATCGTCGGGTCACGTTACCGTTGTGGTCGGAGATCGGTGGTCGGTAGAGCCTTCGGCAACCACGGTGTTCGAATAGGTAGCATGCTAGCTAGCACGTTAACCGGATCGTGAGGCGAAACACGAATAGCGAGCCGATATGAGGATACCAAATCCAATCGATGGACGATCGAGGAAGTCGTAAGAGAAAATCGAGACGCTCGGTAGACACACCGAGTTACGAAGATTGTAACGAATATCCCATAGCCACGATAACAGGGGAAGAAAACTGGGAGAGATTTGACAGATGCGACTTTCTTCGGAATTTTTTCTTTTTTCTTGACGATTAAAAACATAATTAAGAAACTTAATTAAAAAATATAATTAAAAACGTAATAGAGACTTGATGATTTTACGCAGCTAATTATGTTGCACGAGTTGCATCTCGAGGATTAACGCGTATGAGAGAGAGAGAGTGAAGAGAGCGCAACTTTTCTTATTTTTAATTAATTTTATTCATCGATACGTATAATTCTCTGGTAATTAAAAAAATTTACCGAGAACATGATTATGTCGCAATTATATTTTTGCGATGTACAATTAGTCACCTTGTTCGACTTTAGGAATTTCGATGACTGCTCCGGATGTTCGAAACTGGTCGAACCAGAAAGGCCCGAGAGTCCGTAGGCGGCGGTATTAACGGCCGCCTATAAACCAGAAAAGATGCGGTAGGTCAGGATTACGCGAGTCCCTCAAATATGCGAAATTACGACGTGCACTCTAGAGAATGCTCGATCTTTAATGAGCTCTGCAAAGACGTCCAAGTTCTCTGATGATTATAGAACGGAACGAAAGTTTATTTTGAAATATGTTTATGTATCGCGCTTTACGATGGTAATATCTTCGATGATGACACCATGATAAAATTCATTACATATACATGCTACGTATATAATAATTAATAATCTTCTATTTTCCTCTTTCTCAATCGACGACAACAATTTAGTCAATTTTCTAGGAGAAAATGTTGCTGTTGTAACGAAATATCAAAGTCGAGAGACTTTCCAAGTCTATCGACATGTTTCAAAATATCCATTGACTCTTAAAGCGCGCATAAGGAAGAGATTACATTTACCAGTGAGGAGAGTTCCTTGCTTTCTCTCTCTCTCTTTCTCTCGTATGATCTCAATCCTCCTGCGCATTGTTCGGTCCAGCATCGAAGCCTCGCTTCGTCTCTTCTTCTTTCTCTGTGAGAGATCTTCCCACGCACGTGTCGGAGTCCACGTACGGCGCGGATCTTTATCTTTTTCTCTCTCTTTCTCTTTTCTCTTTTCCGCGGAGTCCCTAGTGAATAATTACCAGATGAAGATACCGCCGCCTCGTGTAGGTTGAAATCTGTTCACCTCGGTCACCTCGGTCCCCCTAGCGATTTCGCAACGGTACCTATGTGCCTATTCCCTCTGCCTTTTCTCCATTCCCTACGACGGGGCGATGACACACAACGTGTCCCTTTGCGGATAAAAGCAGTACAATGGGATTCTCTCGACCTGACCGCGTCGCGGTAGAGAAATTGGCTCCTCTTCGACCACAAACCCGCATTCGTATTATTTAACTAGCATATTTTAACACATTTCCTATTTCGTGTCGTAGCTTTATACGAACGGCATTAATATGTTTCCGTTACAGTTGCGTCTTTTAATGACGTTGGGTTCTTTCCTGTCATATATGAGCGATGCTATTTATAGAAATTCAAGCCGGAGTAGGCTTTAGTAAAAAATAATTGCTAGAAAAACAGGGATAATCTTACAAATAGAAACTTTACAAGAAAAGAGATGCACAAAGCAAGTGTTTTTTCGATGAGCAAATAATCTTTGAAGAGAATTTTTTTTTTAATTTAGCTTCGCGCCTTTGTTATGTCAAAAGTATTTTTCGAGATGGTGAAAATGAGAAAAAGCGCATTCGATTATTTTATTAATTTAATTTATAATATTTATTGAAATCCTAGCTTATTGTTCCGCTTACAAAGGTTTGATTGGTTTCACGTTTTCTGTGTCAACGTGCGTTCTCGCCCGCGGGACATCGCGCCCACCGCTGCGGTAGACAAGGAGGTTAAGCGATGTGGCCGAAGGTATCGCATAACTGCGTGTAACTGTGCCTGCGGTCGAACGCAAACTTTACACTTTGTAAATGCATTTGCATACAATCGTGGCGCGTAAAGCTCTCGTATATTCGCGGCGCGCGCTCATCTTTAATGCACGATCGAAGATTCCTTCAATCTGTGTCCGTCAAATTCGCGATTGTTGCCACGCGATGCGTAGCAAATCTCAAGATGTATCACTGGCGTGATAATGCGCGGTGAAACTCGTCTTTTTTTTTTATTAATCGTGAGAAAGTTATATTTTGTGAAAACGCAACATCACGGAAATCCATGCATGGAAAACCGGGCATTGTCAGGGAATTTTATAAATCTGGAATTGTCAGAGAAAAGTGAGGAAATTTTACTATTTATCTGAATTTTTTCACATTATTCTACATTTGTCTTGATAATTTGAAATTTTTTATTATATAAATTTTTCTTTGACTTCCAGCATGCTAATTTTTTGTGTTGTTAAATCATCGTCGTGTTATTTTATTTCGACGATTATTTAAATAGTTTATAGTGACATGTTTGTTTCGATTATCGTACATAATGTAGATTGTATAATTGATTTAAATTTTTGTTTTAACTTCCGAATCTTTTCATTGTTGACAAAAATAAGGATTTCATGATGTAATATTTAATTGATTTATCATATAGATATATATGCAAATTATATTTTTGGAAAAAATAATACTAAAAAGTCAGGGAAAAAATTAATTTCTGGTCTTGGAAAATCTGAAAAATCAGGAAATTTTTTTATCGAGTCTGCTGAACACCCTGTTAGAAATAAACGTTTTTATTATCGAAAGGAAAAATCTTTTGTGAGACAAGTGCGTATTAAATCGAACGCGCGAAATTAGCGCGAAGGAGCCGCGGATTCCTTTAGAGCCACTAGGCGCGAAAGGTGTCCGAAGCGACTCGGATAAGTTTTTCGCAACATCGCTCGCAGGTGGCAACGAAAGAGAAATCGTGACGATCCGTTGCTGGCTGCTGCACCCGCCGGCTGCGCTTCTTCTTTCTTGTTCCTCTCCGCCGACTTTGTTTCTAATTAACGGCTGCCGCGTGCTAATTGTCCAGCTGACGGGAGGCCTTAGAGAGAGATTCTTTAAGGCGAATTGAACAGGTTCAACCTTGAGTCGCGCGAAATTGTTTTCTCCCGGCGCGTAGGAAAGTACGTTTCTACGAAAATTGCGAGGTGGAAAGTTTTATCCGTGCTTTCCCGCCATTTATCCGCGCTTGTCGTTATTTCATCTAATCAAATGTGGCGATTAAATAGATATATGTAAAAAATATTAATTTTTTTCTAAAAAATCAATACGTTTTCTATGTTACAGAGATGGCAGAGGAGATGGTTCGTTCTCTACGACGACGGAGAGCTGACGTACTCGGTGGACGAACACGTGAGTAGCACTATTCATTTGTAATTTGATGCTTGAAGCTAATCCCTTTAAAAAAAAGCCGCTTTGCCATCAATAAATCCATTATCGTATCGATAGGAATTCTCTCACTTCTTCTCTTGTGACTGTCAGTGGGCTACAGATTGCGATAGAGATATTTTTTTAAACTGTGTTCATTTGTATATATATATATTCTATATATAATTATCTATATAATAAAAAATATTTTTAATTGATATTAAAATTAACTAAAAGATTTTCCGCGAAATTCCTATAATTTGAATTTTATGTTGCATATACATTAATCTGTTGATGAGAGAAAAAGGATGAAACGATAATAATCATGCGATATGTCTTGGATAATAGAGTGTCAGTGATACGAAAATATCGCGGACGCGTGCGGTTCATCAAATATCATTTGCCATCGAAGGAATTCGAATTTACCGGACGATGAGACTGGAGAAATAATTTTTTCTCGGAGGCAGCGTGCACGGCAGGCAATGCGGCCTGCCGAGCATGCATTAGTTGGCCATCAGCCAACCTAGCCGCCGACATTACATCGGCAACGTCAGCGTCGCGCGAATACATAGAAGAATATGTTGCTATAAATGACCCTCCCTTCCTTTCGATACCGCTACATCTCGAATTTCCGCTTCCTGGTGTCGATGCGTACGCGGAAACTCCTTTCAAGCCGTCAGAATTGATTTACGTACGAACGAACGGCCAGAATAGAATTCATTACTGTCTCTCAGGAACGACGACCAAGTGTTTGCGACAAAGTGCTTGCGAGGCTTCTCAAAAGAGCGTTTAAATAGACGCGAATCGTCTCTATGGATCGTATAAACACTTGATCGAATGCAGTTTTTTCTGAACAAATTTTTATTATTTCTTGACATCGCGAAATTATCAATTTCATTAAAATAATATTTTGTCGCGCGTTAAAAAAAAATGTGCAGTTTAAGAAATGATTCTACCGACTCGGCTGAGTTTGAATCAGCCGGTACGGCGTCTCGCGAGAAGCAGTTTCCACTTTTGATTAATGCGTAAGTTTATCTCGTTCTTACTCGGCTCGGCTTGGCGCGTAAAATGGGAAAAAAAGCGAAAGGGGTTATATATCGGGTCCGCGTGCATAAATTGAACAGAATTGCCGTCAGCCTTGAAGTGTCCTTTACCCTTTATTTAAATCACTCTCGTGAGAGAGGAGCGGATTGCGAAGATGGCACACGCTAAGGTCTCTTTGTAAGACGCTCCTCCGCCCTGGTCATCCTCGAACTCAAATTAATGATCCGGTCTGGAGGCTTAAGAGGGTCATTCGTTTCGAGAATATAATCTCGGCCGAAAAATGCGAAAAGATAATAACCGGTATATACGCGTGCGGTGGACACTACTCTCTATAGAGCAGAACAGAAGTCGTTCTGGTCGTCCTTGGCAAGGGAATGAGAAATTAGGCTAACGGGTCGAAATAAGTCAGTCGAATAGCAGCCCCGTGCTATATTTCCGTCTAGAGAGTCGTATTTTCCTCGTGGCTCTTTATATATACGTTCGTGCACCGAGAGAATTTTCTCTTCAAATTTGATATTTTATGAGAGTTTCTCTGATTAATATTTGTCACAAGAAAAATATTAATATCCACGTTCGATGAATTTTACTATGTGCATATTCATATTTTTTATTGCGGTAAATATTAATGAGATAAACTCTTATCAAATTCTTTCAATACTATATTCACCTCTTTTTGTGCATATTTAATACGAAAGGTGACGACAAAAAATAAATTTAAAAAATTATTGCTCCCCTGGAAAAAATTCTGCGGATAATTAATTATCAATGTGAAAGATTAATTTAATTTCTGAATAAAAGAAAAAAAATCATCCCTCTTAATTAGATTATCTAATTATCTCGCGCGATACATCGTATCTCTGTCAGATTTAGAGAATGCTTTTTTTTTCTTTTAAAGCGACCCTCGGCGCGTCCTTGCGACGATTAAGAGATCGGGCTAACATTCCGTGAATAATCGGCGGCGCGGCGACTCCGCCGTTGCATTTAGCATCGATACATCATCATCGGCCGAAATTATGGCCGCCATTAATTTGCGACTCACGACTCTGTGTATCGCGCGCTCGCTTATCCCGAGACGAGAGCGCAGCCGCGAACGAGCCGATGCGGTCTTTTTCTGCCGATCTGTAATTTGTTCTGTCATGAATCGTCGGCAGGTCCGGCGCGGTCGTGGGAGACCCGGCGGAAGACCGATTGCTTTCGAAACAAAGCCTGCTCTTACCTGTCTTCGGGGTCTACGGTAGACGAACCTGCAACCCGCGGGAGCAAAACCGAGACATTACACAGGCCTCCGCCCTGCCTCCTTCGCGTGGAATTGAATCTGAGATAACCGCGCGCGTTCGCGAGGTTAAAAAGTAATGGAGAGAGAGAGAGAGAGCCTCCCTTTGGCAGAGAGTAACCCCGGCGTAATTGCTTTCGGGATAAGACCCACGGTCGGCGGCGAATGAACGGCGAATCACGTAAATGAAGGAGTATCAAAAAGCCCGGGAGTTATCCCAATATAGATGGAGAGATATTTGTTGTCTCTCGTTTATTTCCTACGCGTTCTTACGGGAATTGAAACATTCCTCGCGGATAAATCACCCAAAGAGCGATTATATACTCAACTTATTCCTCAGCGGCCCGAGGAAATTAAAAACAGATCGTATCTCTCTCACATATCGCGTACGCACACACACACATATATATAGGGTGTTCGGTAACTAACGGACCAACGATTACAAATGGATTCTTTGGTCAATTTGGGAACGATTTTTCCTCAGCGAAAATGTCGAAAAAGGTGTATCATTTTTTACAACTTTCCAAAATTTGTCATTATGTATCTTTATAACTAAACCTCGAATTAAAATTTTATTATAGTAAACTCTACATAAGATTAACTGAAGAATGTAATTATGTTAGACTTTTAACTCCAAAACGTTTAGTTTTCAAAAAACCCATTTTTTTCAATCGCTTATAACTCGAAAATTATCGACTTCTCAACATTTTTGCTAAGGAAAAATCGTCTCCAAATTGGCCAGAGAATCCGCCCTTAATCATTGGTCCGTTAGTTACCGGACACCCTGTATATATATATATATATATACACGTGACTTTTGAAAGACGAGCCGTTTCGCGCTCTTATTTCGCGGCCTGTATATTGGCTAATTCGTTTAATTACACCGGCGTAAATCAGCCGCTCTCTCGATCTCGTAATCGGCCGCAGCCGATCGGAGGATTCATCGAATCATTCGGCGAGTCCGGCCCTTCTCTAGAACCGATGCGAAAGTGAAATGGACTTTTGCGGGGTAGGAAAGGAGAGAAGGAGCAGATTATTAATGGCATATCTCGGGATCATAGGCTCGGAAGATCCAATTTTCTGATCGGGGCCTCCGTCCTTGAAGGTCGATCGCTGGAAATGAGCGAAACGATTTATTCCGCGATTCGCGAAAAACTCCCGCTCTAATCCCGATCTGACGTTGCATTTACATAATTGATGTTTGATGAGACGAGTATAGAGACACAGTACCAATCTTCCCGATCGATTATCGATTATTCCGAGTCGCGAACCGTCGCAGAAAATTACTATCGAACCAGCATGTTTGTCATTACGTTCGTTCATCCCGTCATCGCGTCGCCGTCATTCATCACGGTAATTTGAATTTGTAAATGCTAGCCCTTTCTCCAATCATCGCTCTCGTATTCCGAATACGCTTTCACAGCAATGATCCGATATTAACGATCATGCCGTATCGCCATGTGCCTATTTGTCGTAATGACATTGCGCTCACATTTCTGCCCCGTGATTTCGAGCCAATTAACATATCGTATAGCCGAGTACGTATAGCTATTTTCATTTAGTTATTAATGAGGACTGACAAAATTACAGAGTTATATAGCGCTGGGAAAAATAAACAATCTCTTATCCTCGATATATTCACACAAAGTTCGCACAAACTCACTTAATTATTTTAAAGCGGGGAAAAAACTTTCCATTTTGATTATAATTATCTAATTTGATCTTACGTCAGAATTCCAGCGGCCGAGGAAATTCTCATTGTGCGAGCGAAACCGTTATCAATTAACCGCAAAATTGTCCATTGTTACTGAATATTCTCCCGTTGAGGTGTACATCGGGAAAAAATGATCTCTCCTTCATTAACCGTACGGTTTTCGAACAACCGTGTTCAATTGTATTCTAAGCATTGCGACGTGAGGCGCGGCGCGTATCGCCGACCTACTAATGATCGCGATGACGATGATCGACGATGATCGAGGCGATGATGAAGCGGGTGACCCTCTTTCTGCCGGCCGATGTATATTTCCAAGCTAAACGCAAGTTAATCGGCTGACCCCAATTAAACGATAGTCATCGAGCAGCCTGGACGAGACAACAGCTGCTTTACCGATAAATGTTAATGAACCGTGCTATTGCAATAATAGCGTCGTTATTAGCGAGCAAACCCTCATTAATTAAGGAAACCTTTGTTCCTCCACCCACATTTTCGCCATTTTTGCGCGTTAATAGTTTCCATTTGGAGAGGAATCTCCCCTGTTGTCTATGTCTATAATTGACTACAAATTTCATTGAAAGACTCAGGGACTAATCAAAAGACCGAGTAATGAGGTTTTATACTCCGAGAAGAGAGGAATTTTTGCATCGCGCTTAATTATGGTTGAATGATTTTCTTAATGCGATTATATTATATTAGAAAAATTAAGCTTTCTATTCAACGAGAAATTTGACGATAATTGAGGCTATTTAAATGTTTCTCGAGAGTAACCAATTTTTTTACAGTTTTTTCACTTTTTAATTTTCTAATTGAGATAATCATAGAAATAACAGTAAAACAGTAATTTCTCTAAAGTAGGAAATTGCAGCCGCATTATTTTTACCCTCGAATCTTATTATTATTTAATTTAATAAAATCATGGATTTCCGCGATGGCAAATGTATATGAAACGTG